GAGCAAAGTTGCTACCTAGAGCTCCCTCTGCTGATGCGCTGGGCTGCGCCTGAAAACCCGCCCGTTTCAGCCGCACAGCTGGGCACCTGGAGTCTATGCTGGGCTCCGGCCTGAGGCCACTCCCTTCTCTGGAACAGGGAACAGGGAGTGGGGGTTCCAGGTGACGCCTATCCACAGCCTGCCTGCTGAGGGACAGGCGGCCTTTGGCTTCCTGGATCCTCTGACCACAGCTCCAGGGATCCTGGAGCTCACAAGAGCTCCCGGGAGAGTCAGAGATTCCTGGGGGTGGGAGGGCGTCCCCAGCACAGGGCACAGGGAGGCTCAGAGGCAGGTGAGCCACCTGCTCCCCACCCCTGCTCTGATGCAGAAGTGAAACTTTGGGGGAGTTTTTAGACTCTTTGAAGAGCAAAGACAGGTCCATTTGCAGAGTCTGGGTGCAAACAGACTCTAATAAGCTAAAAAGAAACACATGATTGAGATTTTAAAAAACCCAGAAATTACGTATTTCACTGAATTTAACTCTTAGTCTGAAGTTTATTTCGATTCAGAAGAAGTCCTGTGGAGCCCCCGTTCTCTGGTACCCCATGGCAGAAGCACTGGCTGGGCAGGGCGGGGGCGATAAAAGGAGGCCCGTTTCCCTGGGCCCCCTTCCCCACAGGGGCCTTAGGACAGAGGTCTTACTCTCCCTCACCTTTTCCCGGTGAGAGCGTGGCAGCCCAGGGACAGCAGTGACCTCTTAACAATCATCAGAAAACCACCTCCCGTCCGTCAGCTGTCCCCCTGCCCTGGGGCCCAGGCTCATTCCACCTGCTCCTGAAACGAATAGCGCCCCACATTTTCTGAGCACTTACTATGTGCCAGGCTCAGTAGAGAGAACGAGTTATCTCATTTAATCCTTACAACCAAGGCCCCGTTATTGCGGGGCCCATCTTACAGACGAGGCATCGAGGAGGTGATAACAATGAAAGTCTGAGGTGCAAAGAGGCTGAGCAGGGAGTGGGGGGCCTGGGCCTGCTATTGCTATTGTCACATCTCCTCACCTGTTGGGCACTCCTAGGGATAAAGACCCCTCCTCCGGTTCCCCCATACCCCCAGCTCAGGGCCGGGCCCATCCAACAGCCCAGCCCTATAGGATCATGGTTTACTCTTCCTTCACTTAGAGAACGGAACAAGTTAGGGTTTGGGATGGGAAGGGAACCCCACAAATCAGCAGGAATGTCTTGAGGGCTCTGGTTTCCTGCCAAGTGAGCACAGGGACTGTATTTAAAAAGTTCCTGGGGGAATCCTCTTCATGCCTATGTTTTGAGGCCTGGCACTTAAATAGGTTCATTTAGCCTTTGCTGAGTGGCTAAATGAACTTGGATAAGTCCCAGGAACTCCAGTCTCAGGCGGTCCTGGGCTCTGTCTTGTCCTTGCCTCCCGGTCTCCCCTTCCCTACTGTGAAAGCTGCAGGCAGGGCCCCTCCTAGCACAAAATGGCTGCTCCTGCTCCTCTTGGCTTAGTGAACCCGGGAGGCCACCACTGCTCCCAGAGGTCCCAGCACTACCCAAACCAGCTGGGTCTCCTTGTGCTGAGATGGGCATCCTAGACACGCCTGGACTCACCCCTCTCCCCACCCCAAGCCACCTCTTTGTCTTCCTGACAATGTCTAAGGCGGTTTTTCTGGGGAGAGGGAGAGGGAGAGGGCCCTGGTGCCCTTAGGAGCTTGACTTGCTTCTCCTCCATCTTGGGCAATTTTTCATCCTAAAAATATCACATCAGCCGTTTATGGCGTCCATAACCTGCCCGGAGCTTCTAAACCTCCTTCTTGTGTGGCTTTTTATGAGTCAAGATAAACAAACAACTCTCTTTCTCCAGGGACTTGAGGCCCCGATCCTTCACCTCAGTCCTGAAGCCCGGAGCCCCCAGGGAGCTGAATCAGTCGCCGCCCCAAGGACTGCGGTTCAGCGGGTCCCTGGAGGAAGGCAGGCACGGGGGGTTGGTGCTTGGGGGGGAAGCACAGTGGAGCCCTCGAAACCCAGACAGGCCGGAGGGCAGCGGTGCAGTGACCCTCAGGGCCCCTCCGCTGGGTTGGAAAGCTTGGGTTAGACACACAGAGGAGAGGTCTGGTGACATGGCGAGTTTGGGGGAACGGCTCATCCAACCACTCACTTGGCAATAGAGAAACTGGGAGGGGTGGTGACTTGTCCAAGTTGTGTAGCCCCATGGGGGTCAACCTCCCGGCCACGTGCAACCTCCCATCAGGACTTGATCCCCATAAAGCATGAAGGTAGTTTCAGGGACACTGGTGTCACCCCACTGCCAGAGAGGAAGCATGGGATTTTGGCCAAGCTGTCCAGCACATTCCATCTTCCTGGCCACTAGGATTGGTCAGGGGGGGCCTAGGACCTTAAAACGGATCAATCAGAGAGGAGAATCCTGGGAAATATGGATGCTTTTTTCCCAAGGCTAGACTTCACAGGATAAAAGTAGTTCTCAGCAACTGAGCTCAGGCATCTTATAATGCCCCCAAATGAAGTAGGTAGACCCTGTGGAAGGCAGAGAGGTGAGATGGACAGAAAAAGATTCCTAGGTGATAGTTCTGAGCTGCTGGATCAAGCCTCACCTGAAGTCTTTACTCTGGAATGTTCAGTCACACGATCCACAAGTCTATTTTTAAGACAACATAGATGTTTTATTACTTGAAACCATATGCAGATGGCAGGGGACTGGCCTGCCCCTGTTCTTCATTCCTGGTTAGGTGTGCTGAGCCTTTTGGGAAGGCCTCATGCTTGTCCATGCGCCTGGCCACTCCTGAGGCTGGCTCTGGTTGGGAGTTTACAATCTCTACTAGTTGAAGGAAGCAGGTTGGGTAACCACATGACCCATACGGGGCTCCCCTGGCCCCCAAGCACTGTGCTGGTGAGATCAAGCCTTATTCACCTTTGGATCACTGTGGAGGCGAGGTCACTGCTCACCGATGCTCTTTCTGCGTCTTGCCTCATCCTCTGGATCTATTCTCTTTATAATCCACTTTTTAAAAAATTAGGACGGATTAAAAGTACAGCCGACAAGATGCAAAGCCTTCACTCCAAGTCCTGACTCACAAACTGAGGATTTGCTCAGCTACTGGATTCTCCGAAGGCTCAGTCCCACACCAGAGGCCAACCCCATCCCATGTGCTCACCACTGGGCTCGGCTGAGCACAAAACCTGGGCAAGGGGACAAAGGAGGGAACGGGCTGGAAACACTGAGTCAGAGAAGGCAGGGATCTAAGCCCTCACCCAGCAGAGCGCGAATCTCAGGGCCAGGGGGGAGGCCTGGTGGCTCAAGGTCACCGGGCAGATCAGCCAGGATGGGGAAGAAGTCTTCACACAGTAAGCCTTGTTCCTGCAGGACCTGACCCCGTGCAGACAGCAAGGCCGGCTTCCGGGTGGACGGGGAGAAGGGCTCGGGTGGCGGCTCCAGGGCCAGACTTCTGGGCTTGCAGCCTGTGATGGTTGGGAAACTCCTTTGGCCACTAAAGCACTTGGTTGCCAACTGGATTCGTAGTCCTTGGTTTGTGAGTCGCTGGGGACCAGAGAGAGAAGTGACTCAGTGAGCACTTAGTACGTCGTTGGCACTGGAGGGGGAGGGGTGACTCAGGAGTCACTCGGGGCGCTAGTGGTGATCAACTCCGAGGCTCATTCAGAGCCTCCTTCCTCCCCTCTCCTACCAGCCGGGACCCAGGGGTCGCGCAATCGGGGACCCTTCCCAGGCTTAGACACTCCCCCAACTGCCCATCGCGTCTCTGCGCCTGCAGACGACCTGGGACCCAGAGATCCCGGCGGGTGGCTCCCGCACCCTCCGCTCCTCGTGCTCCCACTTGGAACTCAGGCTCTCGGGACCCCTCTCTGGCCGACCACCCCTGAGCCGGGGCGGACCCACCGTCAGCCCCAGGCGACCCCGTCTCCCTGCCCGGGCTTTCTCTCCGCGGCGGGAACGGCCCCTTCCCCGCCCCCCCCTCCTGGGGGTGTCCGTCTGCCCCGGCCGCCCCCGCCCCTTCCCGGCCCGCCCTCCTCCTGTCTCCGCCCTCGGCCCCGCCCCCGGCCCCGCCCTCGCGCGGCCCGCGGCCCCCGGCCCCTTCCCCCGCGCCCCCGGCCGGGGCCCGGGCTGTGGGGAGCGGGAGCCGCGCGGGCCCGCGCCCCCTCCCCGCG